TTTTTTTTTTTTTTTTTTTTTTTTTTTTGTCTTGGTTTTCCGAGACAGGGTTTCTCTGTGGCTTTGGAGCCTGTCCTGGAATTAGCTCTGGTAGGAACAAACTACTTCTGTATTCCAGGAGCAGAAGTCTGACAATTAGCCATACTTGTTGACACTGTTGACAATAACCTTGAGAGAATAGAACTCTGATTTTCAACTAGGTGGGACCTTTGTCTGGGGTTTAAGCACAATAACATTGGAAGGAACTAGAAACAAGTCCCAAACTCTGTGACCTTTGGTCAATTTGGAAATAGGCCTTTTTGGGCCTCCACATTAAGTGAAAATAGAATCACTAAGACTAATTATGGGGCTGTAAAGAAAAAGGTAACATTACAGGGGCTGGAGATACCTCAGTGATTATGAGCACTAGCTGCTCTTGCAGAGCACCTGAGTAGCACCCAGATGGTGGTTTACAGCAGTCTACTGATCATCAATTTTAGTTCTAGGGGTTCCATTCTTTCTTCTGCCCTCTGTGGGCACCAAGCATGTGCGTGGTATGTATACATACATACAGGCAAAACACACATAAAATGAGTAAGTATAATTTTAAAAAATTTAAAGAAAAAGAAAAAAGGTAACATTGCAGATGAGACCAATACTCATACCTTCTTAGTTTATCTTTAGCTGTGGTTATCATTAACAGTGATGCAAAAGTCAGAGAAAACATAGGTGAAACTTTGTGTTCCTTGTGAGACATTAATGTGATGTTGGCAAATTGAAATGAACTTCCATCCAGTTCCGAAAAAAATCACTTAGTTTTCAGCATAAGGACTGAGGTATTTGTTTTGTGGGTACAGTGCTTGCTGCATAAGCATGCAGACTTAGTTCAGATGCACAGTTCAGATATAAAAAAGAAGTAGAAACAGGAGAGTCCAAAGTTTTATTGGCCAGCCAGCCATTCAGGGTGCTGAATTTAATTCCCATAACTGTGTGTAACTTCAGTCCTAGGGAAATAGATGATTATTTCTTCTGGCCTTTTCAAGCACTAAGCATACAAGTGGTACTCAGATATACATGCAGGCAAAAAAAAAAAATATATATATATATTTAAATAATAAAACAATAAAGTTACTACATAAAAATAGAAATAAGATAAATAATAAAATAAAAGCAATAAATAAAAGTGATGGAGAGCAATTGAAGAAGGTATGCCCCATTTACCTCTGCTCTCCATACACATGTACACAAACCACATATAACATACCACAGACATGCACACCAGCAAAACATGAACAACAATCCCATCAAATTATCATCATGAAAACAATAGTTAGAAACTAGTAGAACATATGAGGTCACTTAAAGAGAGAACAAAGAAAGAAAATATAGATGAGTCTACGGTGAAGCCTTATATCAGTTGCTTTTGCTGTGTAAGCAAAGAGCCCCCCTTCCACTTAGTGTTTTAAAGTAATGGGCATCTATTATTTCTCATTGTTGATAGCATAGCTATTTCAACTGATTTGGACTTGCTTGACTAAAACTGTGTAGTTGAGGATAACCTTACTTATTCTGTGATTACCGGCCTAATTGGTGTTGGCAAAGGATATTCATTTATGTTTGACAGTTGACTCACTGTCAGTTGGCTTCTCATGAAGTACTCTAAATTGTGTCTCTTAGTGGTGGAAGTATTTGTGATAGTAGAGGACAAGCTGAATGCCTCTCCATTTTCTTATGTTAGTCATGTTCGTTAATACCTTCTTTGCCAAAGCAAATTATCTGTCAGAAGTTCAGACTCAGTAGGGTAAAAACACACTTTTTGGTGGGAGGAGTACTGGAGTCACATTTCAGGCACTTTTACATCTAGCACTGAGAGGAATATGTGGCATATGTGGCATTTTTACAGATCCTGAGGTGTTGAAAGGATGGATAACAGAGAATTAGCACTCAGAGATGTAAATCAGGGCCTGAAAAAAAAATTTAAAATCACTTTTATTGGTTTTTAGAAAAAAAAGTAAAAAAAAAAAAACCCACAGTGATTTGTATGCATACCATGACAAAGGTTTCCCCGTGTCCCAGAAGGAAATTTGCTATTTCTTTGAAGTCCGCTGATAATCCCTAGAGTGGGGATGTTAGAGGATGATACAGCATTATGGAGGAACAGACCACTAGATTAAATGACCTGTTTTTTTTGCAATAATCAGTTCAGATTGAACTCCCAGCAATGACACATTGTTACAGTTCACTTTTTTAAAAAAAATTGTTAATTAGAAATAGTTTAAATTGTACCTAGCTAGATGATTTAGTTCTATCCACAGGATCCATGTAAGTAGTAGTAGAAACAACTCCCATAAGTTGTTCTGACTTCCACATCCATATTGTGACACCCCACATGCCTACACACAAAATAAAATGTATAAACAATTAAAACATAAAAGGAAATTTTAAATTAAGAATATTTATATATTGTAATATATAAAATGGAGATTTGGAGCAAAGAAATGTTGATGAATTTCTAATGGGATTTTTAGAATTATTTAGTGAGTTTTGTGTATTTTCTGTTTTTGACTCATTTAGATATTTATGCAAGCTCTCTGATCAGGAGTTACGACAGAGTGCAGCTCGTAACATGGCTGACTTAATGTGGAGTACAGTGAAAGAACCATTGGATACAACACTATGCTTTGATAAAGAAAGCCTTGATCTTGCATTTAAGTACTTTATGTCACCAACTTTGACCATGAGGTTGGCTGGATTGAGTCAGATAACAGTAAGCAATGTTTCCTTTTGTTTTTGATGACTGTTTTGTTTGCTTGCTAGACAAACATAATACCAGTGAAGGGCTTTATGTTCCGCTTAATGCTGTTTTACACAGAATATTTTATATTGCCTTCACCATTTTTTTTCATTTGTAAAAATAAGATGAGTGAGAGTTAGAGAGATGGCTCAGTGGTTAAGAGTGTTTGCTGCCCTTCCAGAAGACCTGGGTTTGGTTCCCATCACCCATATGTAGGCTGACAGCCTTTTGCAACTGCAGTTCCATGAAATTTGATGCCTTTTTCAGATGGCATTTTTGTATGTATGTAGGTAAAACACTCATACACATAAAATAAAATAAAAATAAATCCTTAAAAGTAAGACTGAAACTTTGATTTATATTTTAGATCTGTTTGGTTTCAGAGTCTCATTATTGCTACACGGTATATTTTGTTTCTGTTGAATTTCTGCACTCAAGCGTTAGCAATCTGCTTCACCCTGGATTACAGATAATTACCACTACACCACACACATATGTGTATAGTGTATGTGTTCATGTGTGTGGAACTTTGAGGTTGATATTCATGATTTCCTTAGTTGCTATCTCTTTCTCTCTCTGAAACAGGTTCTCTTATTAAACCTGAAGCATATATATTTGACTAGACTGCTTGGCCACTTCTTTTCAGCACTGTGATGATAAGCATATGCTGTTATACTCAGCTTTTTTATTCTGAGGGTGCAAACTAAGTGTCTCATGCTTGCATGATAACCACTACTGAGCCATTTCTCTTTCTCCCCCCTTCTTTGCTCTCTCTCTCTCTCTCTCTCTCTCTCTCTCTCTCTCTCTCTCTCTCTCTCTCCTTCTTTGCTTTCTCTTCTCTGTCTCTCTTTCCTTCCCTCTCCCTCCTTCCCTTCCTTTCTTGTTTTATAAGACTATGTTATGTTATGTGGCCTCAGATAAACCTTAAATTCACCACGTAGCCATGGCTGATTTGAACTACTGATTTCTTTTGCACTTCTTGATTGGTGGGATTGCAGGAGTGTACTGCCACACCCAGCTATTTTTAAGTTTTTATTTTATTTTATTGTTGTTTGTAAGAAACATGCTATGATGAATTTTCTCCTGTTTGTGCTTACTGGGTACTTGAATTTAAGGGGTGGATACAACCATGCCCTTGTTAAAAAAAAATCTGCACTTAGACAATATTTTAAGATAGAAAAATAATTAGCAGTGATTATCCAGAGTTAATGATAATCTTAATGGAAGTCCCATTTGACTAACAGCAGTTGTTTTGTACATTATTAAGTACTGTTTAAAATGTGGGAGAATGAAATTAAAATCTAGATGTTGGTGTATCTAGAAGTGGGAATAGGTGAACAAACACTTTGTGTGTTACATGAATTATTTGCTGAAGACAAATAATTGACTTTCTTAGTTTATTCTGGTTCTCGGTAGCTTTTGCTTCTATTTCTTATTTATTTTTTGTAATGTTAGCACACTGAAAATCTAAAGTGATCTAATATGACTTAGGTGTTGGGTTTTATAAATAGCAAAATGCTTCTTGACATTTTCCCAGATAAATCACAAGTAAATTTTACTAGGAAGCCTAATGACGTATGATTTTTCTCCCTAGATTGTATTTACCTCTTTTTCCTTACTCAGCTTTATTTTCTTGAATGTGTTTAATGAAATAAAGCATAATTTTTTTGCAAAGAATTTTAGTATTAACATGATAAAATAATGTACTCGTGGTTTTATGTATAACATTTTATTGCAATCTTATTAGTTGTGATCTGTGTAACAAGTTTATTGTGTTTCTTGCCATTTGCCAACAGCTTTCATGTTTAAAAAATAACCTTAACTTCTTTTCTTTAATCTTAGAATCAGCTTCATACTTTCAACGATGTGTGCAATAATGAATCATTGGTATCAGACACAGAAACGTAAGTGGGATCATTAGTTGATATAGAGATATACTTTTTTTTGTAAAGACTTGCTTTGGCTGTTATGGAATTCACTGTGTAGGCAAGGTTGGCCTCAGATCTGTCTGCTTTGGACTCCTGAATGCCTCCATTAAAGTTGTATGCCATTATGCCTGGCTGAATTATACCATGTTGTTACTAGTTTTATAGCAAATATAGTTGTGTTTTTATTTGATTTGAAGAATTTATTGGAAATCTTTATCTTGTGGCTTCAGTTTGAATAAAAAATATATATTTCAGTGTTGGCAAGATGCTTAGTGGTTAAGAACAGTAGCCGCTTTTCCAGAGGACTCAGGTCAGTTGACTCAGAACTGCAACTCTAAGGATCTCATTTTCTCCTGGCCTCTGTGATCAGTACTGTGTATATTTGCATGTGCATACATTCACACATACACACACACACACACGCGCGCATGAATATATATATAAAGTTCTTTTAAACAACAACATATATTAGGTCCTGAGAGACCTAGTCATTAAGACTTCTTGCTTCCAGAGGATCTGAGTTTAGTTCCTAGTACCCTTGTTTGGTGGCTTCCAACCACTTT